ATGAGCAAATGTATGCACATGCTTAAATGCTTTTTGGGATCAGGACCATTATCGATATATAAAATGGGTATAGTATTACCTACCTCAAAAGTGTTTTATGAGGCCTAAATAATGCTTATAAACCACATATAAATCTTTGGATTAAATGCTTATAGAAAAGTCTGACAGAATTTAATATGGTAACCTTTTTACAGGACCTTTAAGTCTAGAGAATTTATAGAAAATTATATCCCTTCTATAGAATGACTCAAAAAGCCTATTGAAAGGATATCATGCTATATACAATTCTATATATTTTAGAATACTTTCTAAAGAACCCTATCATATTTCTATAGAACCTTAATGATTTAACCCTATTAAATTTAATAAAGGCATTTCCATGAGAAAAGCCTTTATTAAAGGGCAACATATGTTTATTAATTATTTTTTCTGTTCAGGCAAATGGGAAAAGATTTTAATCAAGATTTCCCCCCCCAAACTGGGATATGCAATGTGCAGCAGCAAGAGGATATTCCTCTTGCATCATTGGTATAGTTTAGATAGGCTGTAGTATTAATGCAAGAGAGAACCATTTTCTTTAATGCTGCCATAAGATGAAAAAATAGCTGTACTGTAAACTTATTAAATCAGAATGTGGACAAGATTTAATATGCAGACCTTAAATGAAATAAAGGTATAATTCACCCTTCCCTGCACAATGCTAGAGTAATAGACTTTGCACAGTTAACTAAAGAAAAGAGTGAAAAGGACAGGAAGAAATTTACATTGCCAACTCACACACAGCCATTGAGCTGGAAGAATAGCTACTTCCCCTCTGCACTCCCTGATGGGGAGGGGTTTGGACCACTGGGTCCAACTGAGTATACATCAAGTGGTACTCCCGCCTCTGGCAGTTATTCTCTCCACACTGGTCTTTTAAGAGCTGGCATGCCTGGAAAAGTTTGCAGAGGACTGCTTTATGTCGACACTCTGCCCAAGTCCCCACCTTACTCAGCCCCACTGTGAAGGGCTCTGCATTTACTTTCCATATCTGGGTGAATATTACCCTAAAAAGCACTGCATTTGTTTCTTAAGGAAATGAGTAACAAATTAAGATCATGGTGCTTCATTAATCATGTTTTTAATTATTTCCCCCGAGAATGTCTTTAATAGTGTGTGAGTCCTGTATATAGGGAAAATAAATTATAGGCAACTTAATTACAAGAGAAAAGATTCAGCAAGGGGGTTTAGAGACATCAAAAACAAAAAACCCAAAACAAAAACAAAAAACAAAACATGTTTTGCCTTGTTCAGAGTTTGCCTCTTTTTTATGTTTTCTCCTTTCTTTCCCCAATCCAGTCTCTCACTTGCACTCTTTGCATCTTCTCCCTTTTACATGCCCTTTCTCATCTCTTCTTCATCCCCACCTCCCCCTCTCTTTTGAAGAGTTCCTCTTCTCTACTGCCTGTGCCATGTCTGATATGACATTTTAAATAAAGCTGCCTATTAATGAAGAACGATTGTGAGTCATGGTTCTCTTATAGTTCATCATGGTGTCAGCTCACTTTAATTTCTATTTTTCCTTTATTAAGCTTGAATTGGAGCAACAAAATCTTCAAAATTATGTTTTAAATAAAAGTTAAACGTAGCCACCGTGGCTAAGTGCTACTGAAAGCCACATCTTTCAGCCTATTACATTTCAAGCCAACCAAGGTATTCTCTTCATTACAAAAGCATCAACTCAAAGTTATCCTGACATTACTGCTGTGTACAACAAGTCTGAGAAAATCTGGTATATCAGTAGTGAAAACCCATAACCTATGTGTCATAAAATGGCCGTACAGGATGACTAAAAAACAAGCCAATTCTTAAGAAGACACTGTCCAGATTCCTACCCTAATCACAGGGGTTAGAGATTTAATTTGTATTTTGCTGTGGTAAAAATACTTAGCTATATTTTGGACTGAGGGCACATTTTGGCTCAAAGGCCTAATCCCTAAAACTGTGCCACTTTCTGTGTATCTAGAACACAAATACTTTTTGTAGAATACTAAATAAATTTCCTTTATATCAAAATAGCAATTTTAGTTTTATTACCAAAAACTACAAGCACATATAATGATTAGACTTTTCCACATAAAGTGAAGGCATTTTAAAGAAAAAGAATACATTCTTAACTCCTGTGTCCTGCTGCTGTCATTTATCAAAAAGCACATACATACATCAAAGTAGGAAAGAAATCTACAACTATGGATGTAGGGGCTTAGAATGGTTCCTCCCTGTCTGCATCAGAGGGAGGCCACTATGCCTTACTACGCCACTTAACGGCTGAGGGCTGATCAACAGGGGATTAGCACTGTAAATCAGTAAGGAGTCTATAGCCAGCCCTCTGATTTGGCCAGGCAGCAAACACAGCCAGGCTCAAGCCCTCTGGGCGGGGCCGAGCAATATTAAGTAGTCAGGCTCAAGCCCTCTGGGTGGAGCAGAGCAAAAGCAGTCTGTGACCCAGCTCACCGTCTGGGGTAGAGCAAAAGTAGTCTTTGGCAGACAGTAAACAATTAGGCTCAAGCCCCCAGAGAAGAAGCAATCTATGGCCAAGCTCCCTGGCTGGGGTAGATAGCAAACGAATGCAGGCCATGTGGCCTAAGGTGGAAGGCTGCCATCTGAGGGGTGGGTTTGGCAGCAGGGGGTAGGGGGACCTGGGCCCACCCTACTCTACCGGCTCTCAGCCCAGGGCCCTAACAGTGGCGGGAAATCCCGCCACTGGGTTAGTAAAAATCCTGCCAAAACATGCTGACTGTAGTTTCAGCAAACACAACTGGACTAATGTCTGGTTCCCTAGGCTACTTCCTACCCCTACCTAGTCATAGGGCTTCATTCCTCATGGGCACTCGGGCTCCTGGGGACTTGGCAACTGGCAGTTCCAGCAGCTCCTTGGGGTATTCACCAGGTAGCAGCATCTCCTCGTGTTCCTCCAGAGGCAGGGTTGATACAGTTCAATCCCTGGTTCAGTGGCCAGCAACAAGGAAGCTGTGTCTGACTCCGTCACTGGCTCTTCCTCAACTGAACGGGAGGCCTGGCCTCTTATACTTCCTGTTCCACCCTCCACTTCCAGCACAAGGGGCAGGCCCAGCATGGCTCCACCCACTAGGGGACAGGAAGTGGTTCCTCCCTGTCTGTGTCAGAGGAAGGCCAATTCACCTTGCTACAATGGATAATAAATGCCAATATCACATATTCAATACATCCTTATAAATGGTCTAAGTACAAGTGTCAAGAACTACAAGGAAATACATTCAGTCAATGGGAGAAGTAATAAACATGTTAATCAAATATTCTACTACAGGCTCCATTACTAGCTCATTGAAGGACAAGCCACTCATTGTTTATCAGATTTTTCATTCTCTCTCTGTACTAAGTCCACCTGGTGGTCTGGATTGTAACAATTAGAATTCGTATTCTGAGTCATTTGACTTTGGAGAGGTACCGTAGCCTGAAATCATGTAAGAGATATAAGTTGACTGTTTTTCCTTCAAAATGTCAAAAAGAGAGGGGCAGTAGATTTTTGCTTTCAAGCTACCTTCAAAGTCCAACTCTCAAGTCCCTTTAGTAAAACATAGCTTTGCAGATTTGAGTGGTGTGCTAGGGTCCAAGTTTCAAACATTTACGACTGTGTGCAGTGCTTACTATCATGAGTGGCTGTGGCTAGATGAGCAGGTCTAGATAACATGGTGTTAAAAATATTAGTAGTCTTTGTTTGCACTTCCACAAAGAATAGCAAAAATGGAGCTCTATCAGTAATTAATCACCAGTGGACAAAGCCATTGAAGACACTGGAAATACAGTAGTAAGAACTATGCAATATGGTAAGTGTTAGCATGAACAGGACCAGATAACCAGTCCCTCTCTATATCTATTTTTCACTAATTGATTCCGCAAGTAAAGTTTCCACTTGGAGGAGCTGTCCTTTCAGCACCAAAGAACTACAAAGACGTAAGTCAAGAAAGAACAGCAAAGCCATATAAGAACGGGTGAATTAAGACTCTCTATAAACAGTATTACCATGTCAGTAGTACACATCCTCTGCAATACAGAATGCTGTATAGGTCACTGATCTTTAGTTAACAGATATATCAAGCTGTTAATTGCCTTGTGATCTCAATTTAGAAAAGTAATACTTTGCACTTTTATAGTGCAATAAAGTAAAAGATCTCAGAGTAAAGTATTATTATCCCACTTTATCGTGAAAATTGAAGCAGATATAGGTTAGGTGACTTGCCCCCGTCACATGGGAGGCTAATGGCAGAGTCAGGACAGTTGGCTGACTCCCAGTCTTACACCCTGTGCATGGACAGTAGCCATTGTGTCTCAGCCAGGACTTTAAGGAATCACCTAGACTCTAGAATGAGCTTTTACATGCATATCTGGTATCTGTATGTAACAATTTGTAATTGTGCCTGCTGCAAGTATGGGTTTTGTATGTGCAATAAATGCACAGATTTTTGCACATGCATCTTAGTCCCCATATATAAAAATGTGGTCCTCAGTTTTTGTCTATAAATCTCCATCCAACAGAATGCAATACTAATTAAAGCTTGGTTACATGCAAAAAATGAGTACATTTCTCCATTAATCATGTCAGATGGGGGTATAATTTGGGAGAATTTTAATATGTATCTTGGGAAGGGGGGGTGTCTGATATGTAGAGTGCAACTATGTTTGTTCACATTAACAAAGTCCTATAGTGCTAAATAACCTCTCCTTCCATAAGTTCTGGTGCTGTATCATCTAATGTCAATACAGCACATAAATCAGATGGAGTGGTACTATGGTGACAGTAACCAACCAGAAGACATCATGCAAATGAGAATACTGTATCCCACACCAGCTGCTCTGTTGCTGGCTGGTTGTTATAGTGATAAACTGAGGCCTTGCCTCTTCGCTTCTCCTTGAAAGAAAAACCTTTAATTCCTCAAGGGAAGGGAGAGAGAAGAAAGGTGAGGGGTGGGGGAGGGAATTACATGACAAAGAAAAGCATTATCTGGCTGCAAAGAGAACAGCAGAGAGGGCATCGCGGAGAAAAACAAACATTCACTGGCCATGCCAGTGCTCACCACCGATGCTGAGTCAGAAACAGGTATCCCAAAATCCCTTTCTAATGAGCTTCTTTCAGAAACCATGGAGGAGATAGAACACACATGCCCTCAGCCTCGGTTGGTAAGTAGAGACAAAGGATGTATGTATTTGTCACCCAAGAGCTCTTTGTCTTATTAGAATGTAAAGGAATCAATTGTTCAAAGATTTAACATGTAAATTCTGTAAATTCAACTGCAGCCTAACGTATCTCAGTTGATTGTGCTCAGGGTCTGCACTGGGAGAACTTGGATTACAAAAAACTATTGTGCCAGCTGTGGAAAAAATACAGACTATTTAGGATTATTGTGTTTTTGTCTGTGAGGAAGAGGTTAATATTCTGTTACGGCAGGTCTCTTTCTATAACAATGTCGGAAAATGTAAAAATGGCATTTTTCTTTAGCCTTTCTTAGGTTCGGATTTACAGCAAGGCTGTTCATTGTATCCTCGCCTGTTCTTTGTCTTTGTGCTGACTTTGGGAAATAAAATGACAGATAAGCAGAATTGCCACATTCCTAAATAAAAGACAGTGAATTAAGGATGCATGTGGGGGGGAAATGATATGGCAAGATCACTCACATTGCTAAAAGGTTCTAAGGAGATTGCCAGTGTACACTTCCATGATTTCACTTCAGGTATAGAAAGCATGTGACTCGGGAAAGCTGCATTAAAAAAAAAAAGCTGCAGATCTTAAATAATTAGTGTATGACAACAGTGCATTCAGAGATGCTGGCTGCACATTCGGTAGAGAATTCCTTTATCGCTGTATGTCTGATGTTTTGCATTAAAAACCCTCTTCCACCATCACTGTTCAGTTTCACTCCCAGGGTGCTGCAGGTTCATTCTGCATCAGGCAGGATTCAGCTCTTTAACAAATAAGACAAGATAATGAGGTGTTACTTGCTGCTTTTCTAAAGTCATAAAGAACTTTGGAGGGCAGGCTTCCAATGAGATTTAGGGCTCTAAATTATGGTAAATGCCACCCATCCTTTATATCCCGTTGATTAAAAGAGTGCTGTTTGAAGGGGCAGTGTGGAGAAATGGGACTTTGGGGAAGGTGTGTGATGATAAAACAAGTTGTTAGTCTTTGACTGAAGGTGACAAAAGGCTCATCCAGGCAGCCCAGGCCACTTCACAGTCAAACAAGCACAGGCTCCATTCGGGGTGCTGCAGCCTAAGTGCAGTGTATTTTCATGTGCTAATCTTTCTTACATTTGGAACGTTTTTATCGTTGTTCTGCATTTAAGACTGTCTGGTTTATTATTCTAGACAAGGGTAATGGTTAACCTTTCCCTATATGTGTTACCACAAGGCATGGATAATAATGATACATATGAAAGAAGCCCGAGAAATGGATATCAATAAGGTGTGACACTATGACTTATGCAATAGTTTAGCACTGGAAATGAGATCATTTACCACCAGAATTAAATCACAACCTTAATTAAAACAATTAAAAAAAATCCAACTTCAATAATTACATTTAACATTATATTTCAAATATTATACTGTTCTGACAAATAGCAACAGTTGCTGGAGTTGGCCTAAATTAACATTTTCCACTCGCTCTTCTTATAATTAACTAACAACTTTTAAAAAAAAACCTGTTAATTTATAAATGGAAAGGCTTTGGATGGGCTTTTTTTAATGTTTGTACTGCACTGTTTACTAATGCTGTTTGTTAAGATTTTTCTTACACATAATACAACACTTTTGAATACATTATATCCCTTCTATCCTGCCACATAAAAAGAATTTAAAGGAAAAAATGTCAGTGTGAAGCAGGTATTTAAAGTATCAGTCATTCCAGTAGAATTCCTATGGAAATGAAGGTGGCAACCAGAATACATGAATAAAACAGGAACTCATAATGATCTTTTTTAGAGCTTCATGAATATTAATAAATCAGTAATGATAATAGAGACACTTGGAATAAAGCTTTATGGAAAACTCATACTTCCAAGATGAGATTGTGGGACTACATATCTGCCTTACCTCCATACTTGCTGAAAGAAATGTGCCAGTGTTGAAATAGAGGAGAAGTCAGAATATTTAAGAATACAGTATACTCCACCTAATAGTGAATGGTCCTGAATATTTAAGAATACAATCCACTATACACATGATAGTGAATGGTCCTGACTGCTGCTTAATCAGAACTCTTTTGGCAAAAGTGTGTCTTAAAGTGGAAACATTGATAGCCAATGGCCAGAAGGGTTAAATGGAACTTAGAGTAATAAAAGGCTTGAATTTCTAAGCTTTGTTCCTTACATACAAAAATGATAAAGATTAAAAGAACTAATAAAGATGGAAAGTAGTGTATATGCGACCAGATCCTTACCTGGTGTAAGTCACCATAGCTCCATTGAAAACTATGGAGCTATGCCAGTGTATCAACTGAGGATCTAGTCCATTAGTCTTATTCAGTACAGTACTTGATTTCATTTTAAGTCTTTTCAGATTTTTTAAATAGCCTCATCTCTTAGTTGCTGAACCAACTCCTATAAAGTCAATGGGAGTTGGGTTGGATCATTAATTGGGACAGCCACTTAACTGGGATACAAGGCTCTCCATTGGGGAGTCCTAATTAAAAGAACTTTACTATAGTTCCATTACACTGTATTTTAATTTGTTACCAGGCGATTATGTAATACTGGTGAGCTGAATTTGTGTTATTTACAAATTATTTTTTTCATGCAGCTGGGTGGTCATTATGTTGGTCTGAGAGTAATGAATAGTCAGGGCGCCCTGAACTCTTTGTATAGGCAGTTTAAAAAATAAACTATTTTTAAAATCTAAATATACATATAATTCAAAATTAGATCAAACAACATGAAATGCTTGAAGAAAGTGTCCATTAATTAATAATGAAACTTTGCATAGGTCAATACATATTTTCACAGAAGCAATAGGAGTTAGTAGGACTTCATAAATGGATATTTTGTATAGTAGATATTTACTGTTATTGACTTTTTAATTAAAAAAAGAATTGCTTATTTGATTCCCCAAAACAGCAAATACTTTAATTAATATCTGTCACAATGTAAATATTTCTTTTTCAGTCAATCCCTCTGACTTTATGTCATGGAGGCTGCCATCTTGACATGAAGTGTCACAGTAGGATTAAAGGAAACTTCTGTGTCCTTCAGTGAATGAGGAAAGCAGGAGACACTGATGTCAGTTTTCAGGTAAGTTTCAATGTGTATTGAAATATGAGTTTTTTCTATATGTAGCACTATTTTTATTTAAATTGCCATGACTTTCTTTTTTGCAGACGCTGTCTGGGATTTTTGAACTAAAAAAAGCCAGTCAGAGGCTCCACTAAGAATTCATATTGAAGTAGATACTCCCTGCTCCATCCTTCCCTGTAACTTTGCCTACTCTGTGTTCCCTATTTTCATGCACCTGCCTGCCAATTAATAGCTCCTTTCTTCACACCCCTTCAGTGACCTTTGCCTCAGACAATGAAACAATCCATTACATTCTAGTCTTGTCTACAATGTGGGTGTTAGCCTCTGGTGCAGCTATACAAGTGTTGCTATTCCAGTATACACCTATACTGTAGACATGGTCTGGTTATGGAAGCGCCAACTGTTTGAAAATGGGATAATTTGCATCAATGCAAATTGTATTTTTTAAACTGGTGCACTATGTCTACACTAGGGACATGTTTGCACCAATGTAGCTACCTAGGTGGCTAAAAATCCTCAGCATAGGCAAGCCCTTAGGTTAGCTGGGAAGCAGAGGCACATGGAATAGAGAAGATTAAAGGGGAGGGGGGTGTTAATTTGGAAGTTGCAGCTGTCTGAACCTATTTATTTAGTTTGTTTATGATGATGTAGGCTTTGGGCTTGATTCTGCAATTAATTCCCTGTGGATAGCTCCTGGCTCCTTGCAGGATCAAGGCCTTTGTCTTCATCCAGGTTTGGAAAGCATCTATCGCCCAGTGGGAATTACCAAAACCTAAATAGTAAATAAATAACAACAACAACGCACATGCTCAGGTGGGGTTGGAGACAATCCCAGACAGTGTCTACAACAAAAAGAAACAATGGCAATTTCTAATTACAGTGCTGCAGTTAAAAACAATACACATAGAAACTTACCTGAAAACAAACTTGAAGGACTACCACTTGGTTTGACCTTTCACTGAAGTGCAGTGGAAGTTTTCTTTACTCATACTGTATGTCTCTTCCTTCCAAAATAAGTCTCTACAGTAACATTTTCAAAAGCAGCTACAGGAGTTGGGAGCCTAAGTCCCATTAACTTTCAATGAGACTTAGGCTCTCACGTCACTTAGAAACTTTTGAAAATTTTATCTTAGGGGCTTTAATCATTTTTACAATAATTTTTAAAAATATGCTAGTTGTGTTGGTGAAATCATTCAGGAGTTTTGAAAAACGCTAACATTTCAGTTAAGAGTAGATGAGAAAGATTACTATATATTAGTCTCACTCGGTGGAGCTATAATAATGGTTTAAACTAGAGCTATAATGGCTGTAGAGATTATTCCCCATTGATGCGACTAAGTATGAAATTTGAAGAAGCTATTTCTAGAAATTGTATTAGCCTTGACTTTCAATATTTTGATCTGACCTTTTTTTTGCTTTTTATTTGATCTGATATTTAAACAATGATTCAGGATGATTCATACATAACTGCTCTAGAAGTATTTCCGATATTCTTACCAGTTCACACAAGTAAACTCCTCAACAAATGCATATGATTTTAACTTTTATAGTTAGCAACATTATAGATATAAAGGGCTTTATTATAGTTACAGCCATGCTTTTGTTTTTCCACAATGTGGTGTGATTTAGGGAGCCTGACATCGGCTCTTCTTCAATTTGGATCTATGCTGGGGTACAGATGTCATGGAGAAGGAGCATTAGAGCAGATGACTGTAATAAGGCTGTGTCTGAACAGCTTAAAAGAGGCATGGTTTGACTAAATGTAGGTGATCTTAGCCCTGCACAAGTTGTGTACTGTATTTGGACCCGAAACTAGTATTCATGATTTCTGGCTGTTTTGGACCAAAAATTTAAAAAGGGTATCAAATCTGGCCTTTGTTGGTATGCACATAA